AGCTTGTAAATAGCAAGTTTTCTGCTTGTAAAAGTATTGAGAATCTGGAAGTCTTTGTCAGGAATCTGTGTTATCTGAAGCTGAAGTTTTTTCCTAGTTCTCTGGATTACTTAATTGAAGTTTAAGAGCTACCTTTTACTCTCAGGTGCTTGCTTTATTGTGTGTTACCATCTGAGGGTACAGTCAGTGATAATTAAAAAGAAATGCTGCATATTGCCACTTTTTTTTCAATGTTGCAATAGGAATGAATTTAGTTTTTTTTGTTGTTTGTTTTTGTAAGACTTATGCCATATTCTTTACGATATATATCAGATCTTTGGATGGCAAATAATTTGTTACTAGTTGTAAGATGATCCAAATCAGTTACTTGGAATTTTTATGAAGTAGAATATTTTTATTCCTGTTACTGGGACCATGACAGTATCTAATTATGAGTCGATTATTGCTAAAAATGAAAAGGCCTAAATGCAAACATTAGTAGCACTGATGTATATCTGACTGTCTGAGTGATCCAGAACTGGGATAAGACTAGAAGGGCATCCTTTAACTATTTTTTCTGTGTTCTAGGTTTTAACCAACTCTTTTTAAGTGATTCACAAGAGTCAAGGCATTCCTATTTGTGAACGTAAGATTGTATCAGAAAACAGAGTACAGAGTCTATGAAGTCATATGAATCTTCTAAAAAAAAAAAATGGAACCAGAAAAATCAAGCAGCAGTTCACCTTTCTGCCTTTAGAGCGGTCTAGCTATAGTAAACTATTTTTGTTCGAACATAGTATGAGTAGTTATAGACACATAAGACCTTTGGATTCATACACTAAGCATAACCTAGTTTTTCTTTTGTATAAATTTTTTAAAGGCTCAAGTAAAAAGAAATCCTGCTTTTAGACTATAAACATCTAACTTTGGTTTTATAATTTTAATGTAACACTACAAGTAAATAGCAATTTAGAGTATAGATATTACTACAGTTTAAATAGACCTAGAAATATAGTTAATAGGTCTCTTATATTAACTATTTTAATTGTCAATACAAAGCACATTTTTAGAATTTAATTTGAAATATGATTTTAGGATCAGGGAAAATTTTGGTCTAATTGCTCTCAAATATTTAAAATTTTTGAATAAATAATTGTAAAGGTTTAATGAATTTTAAGAGGTGTTTAATCTTTTAAATAGCGCTGGTTGGTTTAAGTATACTGTATTAGCACTACCCCTGAGAGGCTTCAAGCATAGGCAGAATAGAAAGAAAAAGGGCCTAAATATTTTTCTTTTTGAAATGTAAAATTTAAATGAACTTTCTGGGTTAGCACATCTCAATGTGGAGATCACATTTACATACGAACCCTTATGGTTAACATTGGAGAGGCTATTTCCTACTTTGGTAGAAGGTTAATTTGTATTCTTTCCCACTGTTTAAGATAACTACAGTAACTTGAGTTCATCACCAAAAACAAACTTAGGCTTGTGGCATAGGCTAATGGGGCTCTGCTGGGTATTTGGCAAAATTGAGTATACACATCTTTCTAGCCTTTGTCTAAACCAGCCCTCAGCCTCTCACCTTTCGTTTATTCACTGAAAAAGTATGCCTGGCAATGGGTGTAAAGGTGAATAAAACATTCTCGGTGTTGGGGATCCAGAACATAGTATGATGATTATCTATAAAGTGTTAGTAGTTCTGGAAAAATACATTTGGATGGCAAAACCAAATACCTATGGACAGCTTTTGGAATTAAACTAGGTGATGAACCTCCAAATATCAAATGGGGAAAACCATCAACCTGCTTGGTATTGGTTTCTATGTGAGAAGGAAGAGTTGGGGTAGGGTCTGGCAGACTTGAGAAAAGGAGAATCTCAAATTACTCAACTGAAAATTGGATTTTGTCCTCTCCATAGTGAGTGCAAGGTACCCAAAGGAAGGATTGGAGAGACTGGGACAATTTTCCCCAGTGAACTCTCAAAACAAGACTGCCTTTTAAGGACAGGACTGGACCCCACACTGAGAAGAAAGTAGCAAAAGTATAATCATTGAGTGTAGAGACCATAGGAGAGGGCTTAGATCAAACTGGGGGAGGGGAACACAATCAGGAAAATCTTAGAAAGCAAGCCACCATATTTCTGAACATTACTCAAAAACAACAGAAAAGGTAACTGAAGTCAAAAAAGCTTTCCTGAATCTTGTATCATTCTAAAAGGCCAAGAAAGTAATTTCATGTAAACATGAGCAATTGAAAAATACTGTCAAATCTCAAAAGGTTATCAAGATGTGGTATGTATGAGTGCTTTCGTAAACAAAATGGAGGAGAGATCTCTGAAGAACGTTAGGGGTAAGTTGTCAGCAAAACATTCATGGAGGGTGTAGCGTGCATGGTGAAGGTAGCTTTAGTGCTGGTTCCTATTTTAATATTCTCCAAGGAAGTGTTGGTCTGGCTGTAATGTGTGCTGATTGATATCAGACTGGAAAGGGAGGTGGCTACAAGATCATGATTTATATACTTATGAGGGCAAAAGGAAAGGACAAGGTACTTGAAGAAATAGTGACTCACTGATACCAAGTAAGGTGGCTGACCCATTTGCTTTCACTTATACCTTGTCCAACAGCCTCTTCTGCCTTTTCATCCTTAACCTAGTGTGGACTACTGGGATATTCTGCCAGTTACTTAGTTACAGATCATTCCTGATGTCTGTTTTGTCCCATATCCGGTTATCTTACTCAAGTATTGATTGTTCGTTGTATATAATAGACACTTTCTAAGAATTTTTAAATTTTATTTTTTTAAAGTAAGCTCTACACCCAATGCGTCTGAACTCCTGACCCCTCATGAGATCAAGAGTTGCATGCTCCACCAACTGAGCCAGACAGGCGCCCCATATACTAGGCACTTACCTAAAGCACTAGAGAAGCAGCATGGTTCAAGCCAGAAGTACCTGTTCTAGAGATTACATTCTAGCTTGGCGATAGCGGTAGCATGAATATACGTGGTGATAAGTGCTATAAAGAAAAGAGTGGAAAGAGATGGGGTTTAAAAATGCTCAGGGATAGCCTCTCTGATGTCTCTACTAGAATGTAATCTGCAGGAGGGTGAGGACCTTACTGGTCTTGCCCATTACTGCATTTCCCATGCTTAGAATAGTGCCTGGCATGTAACACTCAGTATTGAATGAGTAAATGTGGACTATAGAGAAATTAGTTCAAAATACCCCATTTTTAAAAATTTTGTTTTAATGTAGGTCAGCAGCAGGCACAGTTGATCTTAAATTGTCATGTCATTCCAGTGCATCCTTGGCTGAAGTAGGAATAAAGATGTTGCTCTGTCTTACGAAGCCAGTAAAACCCAGACCAGAATTAAAAATGGGTATCACTTGATAGGATTTAGTCCTTACTTAACAATACTCGGCCAGGTTAACGTCCGGTCCATATTTGATAGCCTGGATAACCAGGAGCGTTTGGTGAATGAACATTATAAGTACTGCAAAGGTGCACATCCCTCGAAGACTGCTTAGGTTCTGCTAATCCCATAAGCAGGTAATGTTTGAATGAAATGATCAGACAACAAATAGCGACTTCAAGTGAAGAGGAGAGCGCGGCCCCGCTTAGCGTCTGGGTGTATAGGGGACGACACTGCGAAAAGGGACGAATTCCGGATCGCGTGCCTGGCTCAAGACCCTTAATACTTTGATGACACCGTGTAGTAGACACCAGTAGTTTAGCATGGAGGAATCTAAGGACGCGTCAGAAGCTTGCGTCACCATCTTCGCACCCCCCCCCCTCCGTTCCACCTGCTGTCTCTAGGCTTCTATTGGTTGCCTCGCGGAAGGCCCGCCCCCTAGAGGAAGAAGGAAATATCCCAGTAGCCGGCCCAAATAACCGTAACTAGCCTGACGTCATAGCGCAGCCAATCAGAAGCACATATGTTTAGGCTTGTCCAATAAGCTCGGAAACTGGCTTGGCCCGCGGAGTTTGATTTTCGTTCAGGGACGCGGAAGTTGTGCCCGGCCTCGGGGCGAGCCGCAAGGTGGGTGGGAGACCGGAGGTAAGGGCCAAGCATCCTGCGGAGTTACCCAGGTTGAGGGAAGGGGTTTGCATGTCCAGCCCCGGGTCGGTGGGGGGCGTCGTTACCGTCGGTGGGGGGCGTCGTTACCGTCTGTGGCTTGCAAACCGAGGCGCGCGGGCGGACACGAGTCGACGTCCGAGCGCTCCTGTACCAGGACGGGCGCACGTAGGGCGTCCCTGACTGCGGATTCGAGGCAGCGTTTCTTAAGGACCGCAGCTTGGTGTCCCGGTGGTTGCTCGCAGGCTCGGCTTCGGAGGAAGGTGAGCAAGGCGATCATTCTGGGTTTGGAGAGCCCCTGAGGAAGCTTGCGGCCAAGGCGACTGACACCACCGGCGCTAGTCTCGGCCTGTTACTCAGTTGGGTGACTGAGTCACGTCGCGTATCTGGGGTCCAAATTCTTGTCTTTAAAATGAGCGAGGAGGATGGATGGTACCCTATTCGTTTGTGAGGAAGAGCCGCTGTTCATTTGTTAAAGCGTTGGGTCGGCCCCCTGCCTGCCTTCAGGAGCTGAACTCATCCCTCTCCTCAACCCAGAGCTTCCAGGAGAGCGGGGACTTCGCTGTCGCAGCTAACCTAAAGGCTTCCCTGTTAAGTGTCCAATTTATTGTTGGTTGATATTTATTAAGGCTGAAACATCTTATGAACTTTTAGTGCAATTTAACTGATAAATTGAAATTTCCTTTATCAGCCCTTCCCCACGTCTTCATTCCTCTCTCTCTTTGACTTCCTTCAAAATACTGCTGGCCAAAAGAGATCAGTTGATGGTGTAATGTGAAACGAAAGGATTCCTCCAGGTTACTTAATACAGTTTTGATGGCAATCGTGTTTTTTGTTTTTTGTTTTTTGTTTTTTTGGTCAAGAGTAATATTTTCTAAATTGTTTTTCCGGAAGGTATCAAGAAACTGATAATGTTTCCTTGAATTCGCTAATGTATTTGTTTCATCAATGTCACTCATACTGAATATCTTAAGAGAGATGCTGGAATATTTTGGTGTTCCCATAGACCAGGTAAATGTTTTTTAATGGATTTGAATGAACCTGTTGTATTTGTTGCTGGGTCTTACTTTGAAAATGATCTATATATATGTAAACATTTAATTTAAGGCAAGATTGTTACTTTTCAGGTGTAACAAAGCTGAGTTTGCAATAGTGTACCTTAGGTAGTTTGCGTTAAAAAAAGGGATAAAATTAAGGGCGCCTGGCTGGCTCAGTCGGAAGAGCATGTGACTCTTGATCTCCAGGTTGTAAGTTGTGAGTTAAGCCCCAAGTTGGGTGTAGAGTTTACTTAAAAAAAAAAAAAAGGTGGGGGGAGGGGGAGGATAAGATTATTAGCAACCTATTTACTAGATAGGTCAAATGCCAGCAAAAGGTGCACATGCAGCAAAATATAGATATGACCTTCACAGGTAAAATATATTTTAATTATCCAGTGGTTTTATTTAAAGTAATTTAAGTTTGGGGGCGCCTGGGTGGCTCGGTCGGTTGGGCGTCCGACTTCAGCTCAGGTCACGATCTCGCGATCCGTGAGTTCGAGCCCCGCGTCGGGCTCTGGGCTGATGGCTCCGAGCCTGGAGCCTGCTTCCGATTCTGTGTCTCCCTCTCTCTCTGACCCTCCCATGCTCATGCTCTGTCTCTCTCTGTCTCAAAAATAAATAAACGTTAAAAAAAAATTTTTTTTTTTTTAAAAATAAAGTAATTTAAGTTTGATATTTGGGTATATAATGGCAAGTTATAGCTCAACAAATTCAGAATAAATCTGGAGAGAGGATGACTTAGGCCTAAGAAGTACAAGCAAATCCAATTTTCTCTACTTATGGAGCATTACCATATCCAACACAATATGCTTGGTTCTTTGGGTGGTATAGAGCAATACACGATCTTGTATTCATACTGCTTAAAATACAATATGACAAATAAAAACATACAGATAACTATAATACAAGATTGAATATAAGAAAGAATAGTTGGGGAGTTTATAGAATGGGCAAATCATTGCTATTTGTTGGGGTGAATTAGAAGAGAATAGCCAAGGACACTTTCAAGATTTTAAACAAAAGTAAGTTGAAGAGTGGTTATAAATTATAAATAGGCAATTATTATATTATAAATAGGCAATTCAGTATGAGGAACTAGTTTGAATCAGGAGGTGAAGTGAGCCAGATGTGCTGTTGGATTATATAAATACAAATATCCTACAGATAGAGAAATAGTTCTAGAATGTTGGAAAAAGAGATTTCAGATTTGTGGTTATCTACATTCTTTTGATATTTGAATTCAGGGACTTTGGTGACATAATGGAAGATGTTGGGTGTTACTGATGCATTTTGAATTTCAAGAATACATTGAAGATAATGAGGACTGAATAGTAGTTAAAGATCTGCTTATTATTGGATTATTGATGCCTTTAGGGGTTTGTGTAGGTGGAGTGGCGGCTGTAGTGTAGTTTGAAGAATAACTAAGGAAGGGCAGTGGCATCAGCAACTTACTTTTGAAAAGTTTGTGAAAAGAGATCAAGAGCCATCAACTTGAAGGAGTAGGATCGACATTTTTTTTTTTTTCCAGTGTTAGAGATAACTTCATGTTTGCAAGCATTGGAGAAGAACCTCATAGACAGGAAAAAAAAGTTAAAAATTCAAATGAAAGAGCGAGTGATGAGCAATGTCCTGGAGAAGGTAGCTGGGCAAGGAATATAAATAATAAGTCTTGGAAAGAGGACAGACAGTTGAGTAGGATAAAAGTGAGAGATGGTGGAGAGGTTTGGAATGGAGAGAAATAAAAATTGAGGTATGTTAAGTTGGAGTCCTTGGTTTTCTCAGTAAGAGCAGAGTCAAGGCTTCTGCCAGGTAATAAAAATGGTGGCTTTGGGGATTTCAGAGATCGGTGATTGCTTTGGGCAAGACAGTAGAGAACAACACATGCTCTGAAGAGGTCGCAGAATATACCTGTGCAGAATACCCAGCTGAAGTCAGCATGGATTTGTAGTCTTTCTAAATATTGTTGTTTTTGTAATTTATTTTCTCCAGCTAAGAGTAGTTGGGGTAATTTATCCATTAGTAATATGAGAACACATAATATCAAGAGGATGAACACTTTTTGAGTGGTAATGAACCTATCACTGAAACAACTTGAAAATCTCTGCTTGGTAGGAAAGTCACATCAGTAAAGTCCGGGTCGCCTGGGGGGCTCAGTCTGTTAAGCATCCAACTTCAGCTCAGGTCATGATCTCACCGTTTGTGAGTTCAAGTCCTGCATTGGGCTGTCTGCTGTCAGCACAGAGCCTGCTTCAGATCCTCTGTCTCCCAGTCTCTCTCTGCCCTTCCCCTGCTCATACTCTCCCTCTCTCTGTTTCAAAAGTAAAATAAACACTTGGGGCTCCTGTAAGACTCAGTTGATTGAGCATCCAACTTTGGCTCGGGTCATAATCAACATCTTGCGGGTTCGAGCCCCGCATCTGGTTCTGTGCTGACAGCTCAGAGCCTGGAGCCTGCTTCAGATTCTGTGTCTCCCTCTCTCTCTCTGCCCTTCCCTTGCCCTGTCTGTCTCTCTCTCTCTCAAAAATAAATGAACATAAATTAATTTTACCTCTTTCTACTTTTTCAGATGTAGCTACTAGAAAATTTGTCTTACATATGTGGTTTGTATTTTTTTTCTTTTGCAGAATACGTACTTCTGAAGTGATTGTAGGTGTAGGTGATTGTGATTTATGGTTAAGAACTACTACCCTGTAGGATTGAAAAGGAACATAAACACATCTCTACCCCTGGAGTTGACAGTCGTAATGGAGCAGAGAGAACACGGCAAATGAAACAAAGTTACGTGTAGTTAGGTATCCTGTTGTGTGGTGCTCCTTGGAACTGGTTTAGGAATTTAGAGCCTAGGAAGTTCCCGAAAGCAGAGTCAAATTTGTAGAGGAGTGTGCATCTGACATTTGAACACAGGTAAAAACAGCTGGTGCCAGGGCTGGAGGTAGAGTGGTGCCCTTTGGGCACATGCGTAAGTTCTTGGCAATTAGGATAACATTGGCTTGTCTTTGAGACCATGAGGAAAATTCCTATATGCAAAAGAGCTCGTGTTATTGACGTAGTGAGTGGGTAATTCAGTCGGATAGATAGAACTGGGCCAAGTGGCAGAGGACTTTTCAGAGTGACTGGAGAATAATACAGAATACATGGAGGATGTTGTGGAGACTGAGATCACAGAATTGATGGAAGCTTATGAGGCCAGTGGATGTAATCTGTTTAAAAAGATTTTTCAAATTTTTTATTAAACATTAAACAGAGAGAGAAGGAGACACAGAATCTGAAGCAGGCTCCAGGCTCCGAGCTGTCAGCACAGAGCCCGACCCGGGGCTCGAACTCACAAACCGCGGCATCACGACACCAAGCTGAAGTTGGACACTTAACTGACTGAGCCACCCAGGCACCCTATGATGTAATCAGTTTAATGTTTTAATGTTTCCTCTACTTTCATATAGTCAGGTTCTGAACTCAGGTGTTTGGATGTGATCGGATACATTCAGAATCTTACTATTTGAAAGTAGAGGAATGGCATTTTCTGTGCCAGTGGCTTCCGGATCTTCCTCTCTAGCCCCAGTTTTTCTCAACTAGTCAAATGGCTTTAATTTTTACCTATCATGTATTGTGTCTGCTGACGATTCCCAAATCCATCTAAATCCCAGATTTTTTTCCTGAGTTCTAGAACTGTATGTCCATTTCCAAGAAGATGCTGTTAGGATGCTACCTACGTCTGTTGCTTGTAATAAACTCTCCTTGTTATGGGATCTTAGGAAAAAAGAAAAGTCCAAGTTTTAATGCTTTTTGAAGAAAGTGCTTTCTTTGTCTTGAAATCTCTGCCAAAAGCAGAAATATTATGTCATATTTTTGAGGAGGCTTCTGTGGGAATTGTTTACACCAATTTGGAAAGCCCAAGCCAAAGACAAGATGTTATTTGAATTATAGTAGCGTATTTCATTTCTATCATCTTTTTAAGAACTGACTTCTGGCAGATATAGTTCGCTGTAAGTAAAGAATTCTTAAATTGTCTAATGCCGGATTAGTTTGTTCCCCCTCTTTATTTCACCTTTGAAAGGAATTACATAAGTGCACTCTGTATTACCTCATTGTTTGAGAAACTGAAATTGTCAATTTTTGACTGGGCCAAAAGATGTTTAGCTGGGAGGAGAGGAGGCAATTTTTCTGGATAAAGTTCCCTCAAGTTTTTTTTTTTTTTTTTTTTTTTTTTAACGTTTATTTATTTTTGAGACAGAGAGAGACAGAGCATGAATGGGGAGGGTCAGAGGAGGAGGGAGCATAATCCGGGAGGGAAGCAGGCCTCCAGGCAGCCCTGAGAGTTGTCAGCACAGAGCCCCGGAATGCAGGGCTTGAACCCACAGGACTGGCCTAGATCGGCGACCTTGTCGGTTGGCCGCTTAAACCATCCAACCTCCAACTTGGAGCCACCCAGGTTTCAAAGTGATTTTGTCAAGACAGAAATAGGGACAAAACAATTCTAGGTCCTTTTTTTTTTTTTTTTTTTTTTAATGTTTATTTATTTTTGAGAGAGAGAAACAGAACATGAGAAGGACAGGGGCAAAGGGAGAGGGGGACACAGAATCTGTGGGGCTATGGCCTGGGTGGCCCCTGAGTTACCAACATGGAGCCCCGTGGGGCCCAATGGCCTGAACTGGGAGAGATCAAAGACTCCTGGGTTGTGCCACAATGTTTAACTAAGAGTCACCCAGGTGCCCCTCCTGTAGCTTTCAGAGACCTTTCTTTCTGGAATATTACATAGGTTAACTCCCATCCTTTTTTTTTTTTTTTTTTTTCTTTAGGATTTCAAAATATACAGAAATGGATGAATTTTTTTTTTTTTAAGTTTATTTATTTAGAGAACTAGCAGGGGCAGGGGAGGCAGAGAGACAGAGAGAGAGAGAGAGAGAGAGAGGAGAGAGAGAGAGAAGAGAGAGAGAGAATCTCAAACAGGCTCTGAGCTTAGCACCGGAGCTGGACAGGGGTTCCGTCTCAGGACTCTGAGATCATGACCTGAGCCAAAATCAAGAGCTGGATGCTTAACAGACCGAGCCACCCAGGCGCCCCAAAGTTTAATTCTTTGAAGAAAATACTTTGAGTATGCCCTTCTGTATTTTCTTTTCAAAATAAGTGTTAGTGCATCCTTTACATCTATTTTTCTTCATGGATATATAAACATGGCTTTAACAGAATAGTGGTTTTTTTTTTTTTTAATTTTTTAACATTTATTTATTATTGGGAGACAGAGAGTGATGGAGCATGAGCATAGGAGGGGCAAAGAGAGGGGAAGACACAGAATCTGTAGCAGGCTCCAGGCTCTGAGCTGTCAGCACAGAGCCAGACGCGGGGCTCAAACTCGAAAACCGCGAGATCATGACCTGAGCCGAAGTTGGACGCTTAACCGACTGAGCCACCCAGGCGCCCCTAACAGAGTAGTTTTTAAACAATGTTCTATGTGTAAATAGGTTTTGCAGATTAGAGAAAATAAAGACTATGGATCAGCTCGGAGTATTGTTCGTCTTATTGGGAAAATTCTTCCTCTAGAACCTTGTCCCAGGCCTAATTTTGAGGTAAGTCAGTCAACATGCATTGTTTAAGCACTATGTATACAATAATCCCAGGTACTTCTAGAGATAGAGTAGAACAGAAGAAGAACTGTTTCCTGAAAGCCAAAAACCTCTTGCATGTTTTTGTGTTTATTTCTTAAGTAATTACATTCAAAGATGAGCAGACACAAAGCAACACCTGAATAGCTTATTTTATTCTTCTAGTTTGTGTTTTATGACAGATGACATTAACCAGGGTAGAGAATATTGCTACATGTTTAGACTTCAGATAACATTTTCCTCAGTATTTTTTGCCCTGCTAACAGGTGCATGTTTTTCTGTTGCATATCCTTTTTCCTCTTAACTCAGGGATTTTTAATTTAGGCAATTTCCATGGGCATGCATGTGTTCTACCCCCTGCCCCCCACCCCAGCAAAGCTCT